TCCAGCCATGCCCTTGATATATATACAGTGTGTGTGTTACTTTACTACAGGATATTTTATTTCACTACACTCTGCATCCTAGAAAACTTTTCCTTAACTCTCAGGTGACCACACCAGGTTGTGATTACTCTGTTCAGCCAGTACCTTCTATGCCCTTTTTCATACTCTCAGAAGGACTCATGTACAGTCCTCCACAATATGATTGTGCCCCTATCCCTCCAGAGCCTGTGCACTCTGCATTTTGTCTGTTTATCCTGGAATCACATTCCCCGCCCCCTGTCTACCCCTGTCTGGGCTAAAAAGAAAGAAGGAGATACAAATAAGGCAAGCAAGCAGGCAAGAAGGCAGGCTCAGCCACCCTACACACAGAGTCTGACTGTACGTTAAGACCAGCTTTTACAGCCCTTGCTTCATTGAGATGTTGATAATCACATTTTCTGGACTTAATTGCTTCCTCTTCTTAACTCTTACAGCATGTTACCCATACCTCTCTGACATTTATCATCTCATTTCTTTTTTATTGTCATACATTTATAATCCACCCAAAAGACCTATTATATTACCTGACGTATCAGGCAGTGTGCTTAGCACTGAGGACACAGATTGGAATAAGCCTTGATTTCTGACCTCTAAAAGTTCAGTCTTACTGAGAAGATAGCAGAACCAGAAGTCACGCTGACCCAGTGTGATAAAAATTGTCAGTGACGGATGAACAAAACGATATTCTAGGGATGCCAGGTGTCACTTCAAAATAGTTATATGTGCCTATATCTATATCTTCATATATATATGAGATTTTCTGTTATAGATACACATACACACATTTCTCTCATATTCTATGTATGCATGTATGTATATGCATGTAGCTTATAAGAAAGAAATGCTATTTACTCATGAATTATTCCAATTTATCATCATTTCTCCTGCAATCTAACCCCCGCCCCCAGGACTGTAGCCAGTTAGGTCAAAAGGTACTTATTTGACTAAAATTATTCAACAAATCTCACCTCCTAACAGTTTGTCTAGGGTTTTGTTCTCTCTACACATCTCTGCTTTCTGTTTCTTGCTCCAAGACCAAAGAAAACCAACGTTATCTTTACCCCTAGGGCTTGAGCTCTGGTGCTCTCTCTGATTCTCACAATTTAGCAAGCATCTTTCCAATTCTCCGAAGAGGTGTTTAGTAAACATTTGTGGAGTCCATGAAGGAATGATAAACCCATGAGGGTAAGGAGGTGTTTTTCTGCCTTTTATATTCCTCTTTATGCAAGTCTATGCAACGTTGGCCACACGGAGAAGCATATCATCAGAGCAAAATTAGCAAGTCTGACTCGGGTAGGCTTGGTGGGATGCTGACCCTGCCTTACCATGATTGAGGGATGGGACCCACTTGTTTAACCTTGGGTGTCTGTTACCTCACCAAAAAATGGAGATATAATGCCTGCTCTGTACCAAAAGTTTGCTGTGAGGATGAGGATCACCCAGTGTCATATTTAGCACACAGCAGGGGTTCGTTTAATATTTGCTCTCTCCTTTTCTTTATTTGTATTTGACTGCCATACTCACTTGTTGAGCAGCCCCAGGAGGCATTGCTCTGGTAATGTCTTTTTGTGATAGGCTCTAAGGGAAAGAATGCTTCTAGATTCTATTACATATTTTGACCTTTCCTTGGGGGATACTGGTATGATGTAACTGAAACAGTCTCCCATAGCTGTCCTGTTGCTTGCTTGCTTTATGCAGTTACACTAAAGTTAAGGAAAGGGCTGCTTGTCCAGACTGAGATATTGCCATGGTGGAGTGGGTGGTGGCATTGTAGCACAGAGCTGGGAGAGGACTCACCTGTGACTTTCTCTGAGTACAGGCCTCTGGTTTCCCTACCCAGGTTCTACTGAGTCAGACTTGCTGGAGGCAGATCCAGTAATCTGTGTCTAACAAGCCCTTACCCCCCATGACTTTTTATCTCCAGTTTCACTCATGGAATCCAAAGAACACTGCCTTAGAGGCCAGTCATTGCCAAGACACCACCTTCCATTCTGGGCCATTGGGCCTAAAACAGTAACAAGAGACTAGATGATTATTATCTCTGGCTGTAGTCTGTGAGTTTCCACCAAAACATCATTATTTGTCATTGACTCAAGAGCTATTATTGCATAAGAATCTTCAGAGTCTCCTTGAGAGGGCAACTTCTATAACATCCAGAAACTAAACTACTGAGATAGTGTTAAATGACAAATTATATGACTCATTCTGAAACAAAACAGAAGTTCTGGGGAGAGAAAACTAAAGTTGGACTACTTCTGGGAGGCTAGTTGAGGATTTTGAACTTTGGTCTGTTTCCAGAAAAACAGGCAGGATGTCTAGGCGATGAAAGCACTGGAAACAATCAACGATGCAGTTATGGAAACAGAGAGCAGAGAGATGAGTATGTTGGGCAAGCTGCAGGACCTTGGGAAACCCAGATGCTTAGGGGACAGGGTTTTGAAAACTAAAGCAAAATAAACTGGGAAAATTAGCATAGGCTATACTAAGGACTGTAAAATGTCAGCCTTATAGATGCTTAGGGGACAGGGTTTTGAAAACTAAAGCAAAATAAAAATAAACAACTGGGAAAATTAGCATAGGCTATACTAAGGACTGTAAAATGTCAGCCTTAAGTGTCTGGATTTCATACTTCTATGGAGGAACCCAGTAAAGGTTTCTGATCAAGAAAATACATGAATTATGAGGGTAAAAGAAATCCATCCACAATGAAGGCAGAAATAATATTCTTAGAACTGTGGAAGGATGTGTTAGTTGTGATGCTCCAATTAACAGGCACCAAACTAATTTCTGATATTCAAGGAGATTATTAAGAAAATTACCTGTGAGAGAAAGTGGAAAAGGAGCTAGAAGAGATTGGGGTAGCTGCTGCACCGAGTGGCAGGCGTGACTCCACAGGGAGCAGAGCAGTCAGGAAAGCTGGAAGGAAGGCTAGCTAGAATTGTCATGAAGTTCTGGGCAAAGTTCGGTAATCCCATTAGGGAATTGTAAGGTTAGTGTCACTCATCAGTGGAGTCTCACATCATTCAGAAAGAGGCATATCTTATTGTATCTGTTGCACTTAGTCATTAGCTGGAAGCAGCTCTTGGGAGGTGTGGACTTGGCAAGAAGGTAGCGATGACAGCTGGGTTCTTCAGTCAGCGACACCCCCTACAGTAGGAGTAGCAGCTTGTGAAGAGGTAATACTGGAGAAAATGAAGCGATCTGACTTGCTCCTGTAGAGTCCTAGATGGTCATTCCGACTTATACCTAGTTATAGTATAGTTTTGAGCTTCTTTTTCCAGAATTTGGGATGGGTGCTCCTAACTGCTTATGTTTTTACACGGTAGCTTTAAGAATGACTATGTAGATGAAAGGCCAAAGGAAAGGATGAAAAACACTGGTGTGTGTATATGCAATAAACCAAAATTCTCAGACTCAATGTAAGGCATTTTTTATAAATAATAAAGAAAAGTCCTAGGACTCTGTTAAACACTGGCTTTAACACATGAGGAAACTAACGATGAATGAGAGAGACCAGGAATACTGAGTGACCCTGGAGAGCAGTCACATAGGTTTGCACACTCCTTGCTCTCAGGTTGCAGTAGTATGACAAGTGGCATGGAAGATGGCTACTCCCATCAGACAACACCACCTGTGAAGAAGCCTAAGCTCTCCAGTAATAGCATCACCAAGAAGTTAAATAGCATCACCCAAGTCAACTTTGAATGGACTCCCTTTGGCCTGTAATGGACCATGATCTCTTTCCTTTAATTTCTTTTTTACTTCACATAGAAGAAATGGAGATGGGACTGACTGACCCCATGGAGTGCTGGATGAGAGTAAATCTCAAAGTGAACACTTTGTTGTTAGTTAAATGCTATAAAAATGTTCAATATAATGGCTGATTATTTTTCTTTAATCTTAAATGGATACCTAGAATGAGAAAGCCCCATCTTGGTAGCCGAAATTCATTATCTCAGAAATAGTTTAATGGCTGCTGTGCAAATGAACTGGAGGAAGTTAAACTGTGGAATGGGAAGGAGCTAAGAAAAGTGAAATGAGTTGTGTATTAACTTTAGATAAACACAATTATATGCAACTGGATTATCACATGTGTAGGCCGATGTGTATTACCTACCTGAATTTTGATTAAAATGGCACTTGGCATTCTTAGAGCCAGAAAGTTGTGCTTAAACACTGTCCAGGCACATAATGGGGCAGGTAGGAAAGTATCTGATAATCAGATTCTCAGCTGGAGGCCACAGGGGCAGACCAGGCGGGCCAAGTATATACCAGTTCAGATATATCACTAACTGTATCACAGACAACTCTAGCTCTTTGTCTCTGGGTTTCTTAACTTTAAGTGGAGTCAGGAAAATGGTCCTGGAATCCAGTGAAGTCTAATGACCTGCTTACTGTGAGGTGGGGGCAGTTGGCACATGATCAGTGGCAGGTAGTCTCAGAGGACATTGGGGACTGAACCTAGTGCTGTTCAGGTATTTGTGCCTGGTGAAAACATAAAATCTCTTTGAACTCCTCTGTAGACAGAACGTGTTGACCCAGTTCCCTCTTAGTCTTTTAGATCCTATTCTGTATATCAGTCATCTTGAGATCAAAAGCAAGGCGGGCCTCTGATCTCTGGGTGGCCTTGGTAGTGAACAAAGCCAGCTGGCCTGGGCCTGACCTTGAAGAAGGACAGATGTGAAGAAACCACTGTAGTACCCAATTAATTCCTGTTGCATGTTTTATTTCAAATGCAAAGCAGTGTCAGGATTAAAATAAATGATACCGGTTACTGGGATGCATTAAAATAATAATTTCTTCCCCCTTGCTTGATCCTATAATATCCCTCAAATTCAGTGGATAAATATTAAACCCTCCTCTGGGTGATACTAGCTGCATTGTGTGCCGCTACTCAAACTAAACTAAGCTTCCTTTTCCCCCCTTTCCCATTCCTCTGCCCTCATCCCCACCCCCTGCAGGTCATACTGATCTTGACGAAGCTGTACGACTTCAACCTGGGGAGTGTGACTGAGAGTTCTCTGTGGAGGTAAGTGGATTAGAGCATCTTCAAGCTGCCCTGGCTGGCTTGACTGGGGAAACATGTAAGCCAAACAGTTGAGAAGCCAGTTTCAGAAGAAACAGAAGATCTTCCTCTTTGCTGGCCTATGTGGAATCAAGCTGGGGGTGAAGTGAGAGTGGAGGTGGGCATGAATTCCCTTAGCACTCTGCCTATCATACAGCCATCTTGCTACCGTGTTGCTTCTGCAGGTCAGCAGTGCCTGGTTCTACTTGGTGCAGGCAGGGTTTGGCCGAAGATCAGAGGAGAAACATGCCAAGCAGAGACTCTTAGCAAGGGAGCCAGGGCTGGAGTAGATAACTTGTAGTGGTTGTGAATTTGGCCCAGGAACCATCTCTAGCACCTGGAAGGGGCTGTGGTTTTCAAGATCAGTGCCTACATGGATGGAACAGACATATATCTGCATGATGACTTTCATGGTGCCTTGACAGTTTGCTTTCAGGCTCTTCTCCCCATAAAATATTAATTTTATTTCTTATTACATCATAAAAATATTATAATAATTGGTAGAAAGATAAATATCTCAATACCCTTTAGTAAAATGTTTTTTTTTTCATCTTAAAAGTTTATTTTTATTTTAAAAGCACTTTAAATATTCCTTGGGCCTCAGAAAGTTCTGTGTACTGTATGCATTGTACCTCTCGGGCCTAGAGGATAAGATGGCCTTGATGGTCATCTTGAGATATAGGGGACATAGGGGTGGAGGAAGGCTAAGGGGACTCTGATTTTGGTGTGATGCTAGGTGTTCCTCTGGGCAGGGAACCCTGTGTACAGCCTCCCACATCCTTTCCCACCTGTGCACACTCATGGATACACTGGTGTGCAGTCATCCTGGGCAATAGCTAGCTTCACTAGCCACTGGGGGCTTCATCAGCCCCAGTGTCTTGTTGCCTCATGCTGGGTGCTAACTGCTTCAATGGCTATGTCATTTTCTTTCATTCTCTCTGCTATGTGTTAACACTGCTGAGGACACTGTTACAAAAGGCCACTTATCTGTCTGCAGTACCATCCCAGTACCATGTCCTGAGGATTTCCTGGGGCCTTGTATCAAAAAGTCTAGCCTATTAGATGTCCCATTTTCTGATCTGTATGTTTGCAGAGAGCTAGCCAGAGCAGCTCTGTCTGAGAAGGGAGACTATGGTCACAGTATAAGTTAAATATTTAGGGGCTAAGTGCTCAGGCCAATGGAAGCATGCCTCTCTTTGTACAGAGGGCATTGTACCTAATTTTGCTGTTTAGTGAAAGTTGGCAGAGATATACATTTTCAGTCTGCCTATAAGAGGAAAGCCTGGCAGTTTCCACTCATGCAGTACTTTCTGGGAATTAGAGCTCAACCTTCCGAAAGCCCCTGGATAGTGATGCTGTGTACACTCTAAGTCTCATTCCTGTGCAGTTGGCTTGTCCCAGTCGTGAAATGAATTAATACATCCTGGCTGTATATTTGGAAATATCTATGCCTAACACTGCAAGTTTCAGAAAAGGTTTGGCTAGTTCCAGGAATAGGCCAGGCAAATCCAGAGAGCGTGGCCTGGTTGCTTGATGTCAGTCCCTGAAGTATTCAAGAGTGTTCTTCTTGATCATATGAGCTGCAGAATTCTACAACCTACAGTATACAGCCTAGTCACTCCAGACACGCTAGCATCCAACTGCCAGAGTTTAAATGCCACTTTGTACCAGTGAATTCTGTAACTTACCTTTGGGCACTGTACTTAGCCTCTGCCTGTTAGTTTCCTGGGACTTCCATAGTAAATGACCCCAAATGGGTGGCTTAAAATAGCATACATTTATTCTCTCAGTTCTGGGGTCTAGAAGTATGAGTTCAAGGTGTTCATGGGCTCATACTATTGCTGGAGGCTACAGGGAGAATCTATCTTTCAGCATTTGGGGGCTGCTGGAACTTGTGGCTATAGCACTCCAATTCTGCCTTCATCTCCACATGATGCTATCCTCTCTGTCAGTACTTCCCCTCCCCTGTTTCTCCTGTTCCTGGTAATGAAATTGTCATTTGATCAAGGGTGATTTTATCTTAGCATGCTTAATGGCATCTGCAAAGGTGCTCTTTTCAATATGTTTCCATGATAGGATCTAGAAATCAGGACATGGACATCTTTTTTTAAAAAACCCATCATCCAACCCATGCTAACCTCTGATACTCAGCTTCCCTTCATATAAGTTGGAGATAGTACAGAACACACCCCTGCTCTTGTTATATTTTTCTTATGACTCCTCAGACTCATATACCACCTTCCTCTGGAGTATCTCTGTTTATCTCCTCCCTGGCTTATAATTCCCAGAGGTCAAGGAATTCCTCCCTCCCTCCCATCTCTGCTCACAAGTCCCACATCAGTAAGTCCTTTTCCCAGAATTTCACATTACACTACCTGACCACAATCTCCTTCCCAGTATTTATCACCACTTAGGCAAGCTAAATATCTGCTTATTGATTTATTTATTGCCTAGTGACAGCCACTAACATCTAAGCTTTAGAGAAAGGGAGGCTTTTGTTGGTTAATTTTCACCCAGCGCTGTCTCCTTAGCACCTAGAGGAGAATCAGGCACTCAAGAGGTACTTAATAAATGTTTGCTCAACAAATGAATTAGTGAGTGACTTGTAAGGATTAAATAATAAATGCAAAAATACTCAGGACAGTAGCTAAGTAGGAAGCACTTCATGTCATTAGTAATGACTATTAGAATCTTGTGTGTTTATATAGGGTTTTTCATCCCCATTATTGACTTTATGTTTAGGGATCCATTGCTGCGGGGACTGTGTGAGGGAAACTGTAGGCCATCAGGCCATCAAGGGGTGTTCTCTAGGAATTAGCAGCAACTTCAAGGATAAAGGCAGGAGTTAAGGAGAATGTGGCTCAGAATGTTGTCCTTTGGGGCATTTACAGGGAGTTGGAATATCAGTTTCTATGTTGTGGAAGATGTTCTTTCATAGGAAAGCTTCTTTGAGCTTCTATTGGAATGAAGGGAAGGACACAGTTTGAAAAGTGATGAGTGGAAAAATGTCTTTAGACAAAGCAAAGAGCATGAGGCTCAGGGCTGTAGGTGAGGAGAGAGTCAAGGAGGAGGTAGAGAAAGCCAGATGGGAGCATGCAGGGACCCACGCAGTTGACAGAAAGAGCCCAGCCCAGGTTGGTTCCTCCAGTGCAGTTTACAGAAAATAAATTCCATACGGGGTGACCTTTTGGGGATTTGTAAATATTATGGGCTTTCCCTGTGGATAAATTTCATGTAGGAATATATTTTTGTGATAGATTTCAGGGGCTTTATGAGCCGATCAAACTTCTTAGGAACTCTATGCTAGACCATGAATGAAGGAAAGTATTGTTCCTCAATTCTGTAGGTTTTCCTACTTTGCTGGTCTCACTGGGAGTCTTCCAAGGCTTTCCCGTCTTCATTCAGCTAAGCGTCCCTCTCTCCATTATCTTTTCTTGTACTGATGATGATGATACAGTTTATAGTTAGAGCCTGGAGCACTATGATTTTCCTCCCTAATATAGTGGACTGAAAAAAGAAACTAAATTAAACATGAACCCTTTCAGCTTCCTGATTTGGCTGAATATGCTTAAGCAAGTTGAAATTGAATCTAGTGATTCTTCTTCAATTTTCTGTGCATAGGGAAACCCTGGAGTGGCAGCTGTCATGACAAGATGATGCCTCTTGCCAAAGGGTGATGGGATTGTTTGCCCCTCTGGATTAATAATTCAGAGTCCCTCTACTCCCAAATAGACACAAAGATTAAAAGCATCAAATCGTGGAGCTCTGCCTATGTCCTTGTGACATCCTTCTGCAATTATTTCGTGCTGGTAGGCTGAAGGTAGTCAAATTATTTTTTCTACTAACACTAGGATGGCTGTTCAAATTTGTCATTTAGTACAACCATCTAGTGCCATCTCTAGGATTCCAAGTGTAAAGGGTTGAAGAGGCAAGGACACAATGCTTGCTCTGGATTATACAGGACATGAACTGAGATCAGGAGCTTTCCCTAGCCTCTGCTCTGAGTTCCTTCCACAGTGTCTTTTGTCCTAAATGGAAACGGCAGCTAGATGCAACCATCCTATTCCCATCTTCCCTAGTCCCAACTGACCATGGGCCATACTCACTTAGTGTATAGGTGCTGTAGACTCAAAAGAAGGGCCTTTCTGCATAATCTACATCTGGAGACGCTTTGATGCTATTATGTCCCTCTCACACACATGGCTACCTTTGCCCCATTTGGAGGCTTACTATTCTCATTTAGAGAAGTAAAACTCTGATATGGCCAGTTAATCCATTACTGGAGGCTGAAATCTTTAGTTTTAAATTTAAGTCATAGGCAATAATTATATTTGATTGACAGATGATTTGTTAGACTCAGTTCTATGTGTCTTAAACATTAGCTTTTGGAAAACAAACTGTAACTTCCTTTCTCTCAACGAAGTTTTAAGGATCCACTTTTAGAGATGAACTAGCTGCCATCTGCCCATATCAAGCGAAGTCTCTGACAATGGACCCCGAGGCTTCTGCTTCAGATCAAAATACACTGTGGTTGAGGAACTGCGTGGGTCAGGTACCACAGTGGTGGGGTTTCTGTAAGTGTGGAATTTCCACAATACTGGGCTCTCCACATGCATGGTCTCTCCACAAGCACAGGGTTTCCACAGGTATGGAGTCACCATAAGAATTTTCCTGGTTTAGGGGCTCTCAGAGGGTTAAATGAATTTACAATTATCTAGGCACAGGAAGAGCCCATAATCCTTTGAAATAAATCTCTGCCCCATATTTGGAGGGCCAGTGGTTTTCATTCTTCTCCTTTCTTGCTTTATTTCATCCACTAGTCCAACAGAGCGGGAGGCATTCTGCTTGTAGAAACTCTACCAGGTGACAGCCATTCCTCCTTAAGCCTTCAGGGTCTCTAGAGCAGAGGAACTTCTAGGTTAGGGTGTTTACAGGGACGACTGATTCCTGTGCACATCCATATG